AACTTCAACACTATTAAATTCAATTGCCTCCAATGCAATTCTTTTCTTTTTTTTCAAAAAGAGAATTTCAAATTGAAAATTTAACTTTTTTTATGGCCTTTTCTTTTGCAAGATTTTTACATTCTTATTCTTTCTTTTCTTTTTTTCTTTTCTTTTTTTCTTCTTTAAAAATTTTTTTGAAACCGTACTGTCTTTTAATCTTTTCCACAAGATTTTCCAGAAAATTTTTCTTTTAGAAACGCTTTTTTTTGAATTTGTGTTTCTTACTTTTTCAATTTTTTTTCTTTCCTTTTCTTTTTTCCTTTTTCTTTTTTTCATTTTTTTTTTTTTCTTTTCTTTTTTTGAAAAAATGTTTGTCCTTTGTTTATTCTTTTTATTTTTTTTTTTCTTTTTCTTTCTTTTCTTTCCTTGTTTCCATAGATGGATATATATATATATATATATAATATTTATTTTTTTTTTTTTTTTTTTTTGTTTCTTTCTTTTTTTTTATTTTTAGAATGAAACCTAACTGTTTTTTCGTCCTTTCCAAAATTTTTTTCTTTATTTTTTTTAAAATTTTTATATAGTTTTTTTTTATAACTCTTTTCTTTCCTTTTCATTTTCTTTTTATTTTTCTTTTTTTTTCTTTCTTTCTTTTTTTTCTTTCCTTAAAGCTTCTTTTTCCTTTCCAAATGAGAGAATCTTTTTTTTTTTTTCTTTTTTTTTTCTTTCTTTTTCTTTTTTTTCTTTGAGTTTTTTGTTTTAAATCTTTATTTTTCTTTTTTCTTTTTTTTCTTTTTTTTCTTTCTTTTTTTCTTTCCTTTCTTTTCTTTTTTTATTTAAAATTTTGATCTTTGAGATTCTTTTTTCCATTCCTTTTTTTTTTTAAAAGAAATTCTTTCTTTCTTTCTTTCTTTTCTTTCTTTTTGATTTTCTTTTTTCTAAATTTTTTTTTGACAATTTTTCTTCTTTCTTATTAATATTTGACTTCTTTCTTTTTTTTTTCTTTCTTTTTTTTTTTTTTCTTTTTTTTGCAATTTATTTTTTCTATTTATTTCTTTTTTTTATTTTTCTTTTTTGAATTCAAACTTTTTTTTTTTCCTTTTCATTTTATTTTATTTTTAATTTTCTTTCTTTTTTCTTTTCTTTTTTCTTTCTTTTTTCTTTCTTTTTTTTCTTTTTTTATTTCTTTCTTTCCATTTCAACCTTTTTTTCTTTCTTTCTTTTTTTTTTCTTTCTTTAAAGAATCTTTTTCTTAGCATTCTTTTTTTTTTTTTCTTTTTTTTTATTTTTTTTTCTTTTCTTTTCTTCTTTTTTCTTTTTTTCTTTTTATTTCATAATAAAATTCATTCTTTCCTTCTTTTCAGTATTTCTTTCTTTCTTCTTTTTCTTTTTTTATCTTAATAAAAACTTTTAATTCTTTAGTTTTTTTCTTTCTTTTGTTTTTTATTCATCTTTTCATTTTTTTCCTTTTCTTTTTTCCTTTGTATCTTTCTTTTTTTCTTTTTCTTTTTTTTTTTTTGTTTTTTCTTCTTTCTTTTTTTTTTTTCTTTTTCCTTTGTTTTCTTTTTTTTTTTTTTTTTTCTTTTCTTTTTATATATATTTTTATTTTTTGTTTTTCAAATTTCTTCATTTCATTTAATTTTTTTTTTTTTTTTGTTTTCTTTTTTTTCATTTTTTATTCTTTTTTTCATAGAATCCATTTTTCAATTTTTTTATTTTTTCTTTTCATATTTTTATTTTATTTTTATTTATTTTTTTGTTTCTTTCATTTTTCTTTTTTCTTTTTTTCTTCATTTTCTTTTTAAATTCTTTCTTTATTTATTTTTTATTATATCACATTTTTTTTTTTTTTAAATTTTTTACATTTTTCTTTTTTTCTTTTTTTTAAAAATCTTTTTATTTATTTTATTTCTTTTTATTTGACATTTTTTCATTTTTTTTCTTGTTTCCATTTCTTTTTGTTTTCCATTTTATTTTTTTCTTTTTTTTTTTTTTTTTATTATTTTTTATATTTTTATAATATATATTTATTCAAATTTTTTAATTATTTCTTTTCAAATTTTTGTTTTAATCTTAAAAAATTTTTCCTTTTCATTGTGATTTCATTTTCTTTATTTCTTTCTAAAATTTATTTCTTTTTTTTTTATCTTTTTTTTTTTTTTTTCTTTTTTAAGAATAAGCCTATATTTTTTTATAAATTTTCAATTTTATTTTTTTTTATTATATTTTATTTATTATATATATTTATTTATAAATATTTTCTTTTTTTTTTTTATTTTTTTTTTTTTTTTTTCTTCATTTTTTTTTTTTTTATTTTAAAGGTTAAATTTTTTTTTATTTCTTTAATATTGTTATTTTTTTTTTTTTTCTTTCATTTTTCCTTTTTTTATTTTCTTTTCTTTTTTTTATTTTTTTTTTTTCAAAAATTTTTTTTTCATTTCTATTTCCTTTCAATTTTCTTTTTTTTCCTTCTTTCCAAATTTTTAAATTCTTTAAATTTTTTTTTTCATTTTTTTTTTATTTTTCATTCTTTTTTTTTATGTCAGATTTTAAATTTTTTTTTTTTTTTTTTTTATTATTTTTTTTTCTTATTTTTTTTTTTCTGAATTTTCTTTTTAAAAAAATTTTAAATTTTTATAAAAGAAATTATATTTAAATTTTTTTTTTCATATTTTTATATTTTTTCATTTTTTTCAAATCCTCCTTTTTTTTAAAAACGAGATAAAAATTTTTTTTTTAAACTTTTTTCTTTTTTCTTTCTTTTTTTTTTTTAAATTTCCTTCTTTCGATTTTTTGAATTTAAAATGATATCATATTTAAATATTGATTTCCCTAAACCAACTTCATCTTTCTTTCCTTTTTTCACATATCGCATTTAATCCAATTTTTCATTTTTATTTAAAAGTTCATGTTTTTAATATTTTTGGGGCAAATTATAAATGTTTTAAAAACGATCTTTTTAATTTTTTTTCTTTTTTTTTTTAATTATATTTTTCATTTTTCATTTATTGTCATTTTTATTTTATTTTATCCAAATTTTTAAATTTTTTCATTTCTAAATTTTTTTTAAATTTTTTTTATTCTTTTTTTTTTTAAAAGTTTAAAAATTTTTAAATTTCAAAAATATGTCAATTCTATTCCTAAAAAATTATTTCCAATTTTAACCAAAAGATCCATTTATTTTATTTTTTATTTTTTAATTTTTTTTTTTTTTTTTCTTTTTTTTTATTTTTTTCCTTAAAAAATTTAACAAATTTTTTTTTTTTTTTTTTTTTCATCTTTAAATATTTTTTTTTTTTTTTTTTTTAAAAATAATTTAAATTTTTATTTTTTTTTTTTTTTTTTTTATGAAAATTAAAAATTTTTTTTTATAAATATTTTTTCCAATTCATTATTTAAAAATTTTTATTTTAAAATTATATATTTTATATTTTTTCTTTTTATATTTTAAATAAAATTTTTTTTTAAAAAAATTAATTTTTTTTTTAATTTATTAAGATAATATTTATATTTTTTTTTTTTTGAAAATTCAACCTTTTTCATTCTTTTAATCCAAAAAAAATATTTTTTTTTTTTAATTCATTTTTATTTAATTTTCTTTTTTTTTTTTTTTTTTTTTAAATTTCAAAAATATAATTTTTTTAATTTTTACGAAATTTTAAGTTGAAATAATTATTTTTTTTTTTTTTTTTATTATAAATTATCTATGAATTCTTTTTTCTTTTGAAATTTTTTTTCATCTTTTTTTTTTTTTTATTCCTTTTCTTTTTTCAAAGTTTTTAAAAAATATTTTTATTTTATTCCATTTTGATTTATTTATATTTTTTTTTTTCATTGTTCTCAAATATTTAAAATATTTAAAATTGATCTTTTTTTTTTTTTTTTCAATTTTTCAAAATAAAATTTTTTTTTTTTATTTAAAAAAATTTCTTTTTTTTATATTTTATTTATATGAATCAAATTTAATATAAATTTTTTCTTTTTGCTCAAAAAATTTTCTCATTCAAAATTTAAAATAATCTTATAAATTTATATATATATTTTATAAATTTTTAACTTCATGGAAAATATTTTCATTTTTTATATTTAAAAATATAACTGCCTTTATTTTTATATTTTTTATATTTATTTTATTTTATTTTTTTTTTAATCTATTTTTATAAATCTGATTAAAAAAAAATATTAATCATCATTTTTAAAAAATTCACATTATTTTTAAAAATATTTAAATTAAATTTTTTCAAATTAAATTTTAAATATAATATATAATATTTAATTTTAAATTTAAATCATAAAAATTAATTTCCAACTCATTCAAAATATTTTATTTTTAAATATCCAAATTTTTATTGTTTTTTAAAAAATAATTAAAAAATTTCTTTAATTATTAAAATTCTACATATTTAAAAATTCTTGAAGAATTTAATAGAATTTTTTTTACAGAAAAATATAATCTAATAAACAAAATATTTAAAAAAATTTTAATATTATTTTTATATATTAGGAAATTATAAAATTGTTTTCAAATAAAGAAAAAATTATTTTAAAAACAGATTAAAAAATATTCATTAAAAAAAAATTTTTATAAATTTTATTTAACGAAAAAAGCTTTTACATTTTTTTTTTAAATTAAAAAAAAAATTTTATTAAAAATGAAATTGCTTTTATTAATAAATAATTTTTTTTATAAAACTAATTTTTTTTTTAAAATTTTTTTTTTAATACAAAATTTTTTGAAATTAAGATTTGAAAATTTTTTTTTTTTTTTTTAAATTTCGCAAAAAAATTAATTTTGTGTTTAAAAAATTAATTAAAAAATCATAAAAAATAAAAATTTTGAAATTTTTTTTTTTTATTTTTTTAAATAAAAAATAATCAAATTAATAATTCATTTTCATTTATTTTTACATAAATTTATGACACAATAAATAAAATTAAAAAATTTTTTAAAAATTTTTTTATTTAATTTTTTTTTTTAAAAATTAATTTTTGATATTTTAAAAATAATTAATAAA